AGGGATGAATTCACCTCCTCTTTTATCACTTTTTAACCTTTATAACTGTTTTTACCATTTGACCTAATGCCTGATTATCGATTTTGTTGATCGATTGTCAATTGGCTGATCCTTTCTTGGTACTCCGTATATTGGTATATATCAGTATCCAGGTTTCTGTTGATTATCATTTGATTGGATTACTGCGGTTCCAAGAATTCTGTAACTTTTTTTTCGCCTGCTTGAATCGTTGAAGAACAAACCTCAAAATTCAAAGAACCCTGAACAGTTATCATCTCATAATAATTATTATTATTATCGTCATACTTATTATTATTTGTCCCTTGGGTTCCTAGTGGAAAATAAGGCTTCTGTAGCTCGTCACCATTTCACTCTCTCCTCTGCAGTCTTTTCAACCTGCATCCACGATTGCCCACAAGCTTTCATTTCTTCCTCATATGATCTCCTTCCACGTCACCTTCGGACGCCCAACTCGTCGTTTCCTCTTTGGATCCCACTTGACGGCCTGACTCATGATGTCGCCGAATAGTCTCCTCAGTGCATGTCCATTCCAATCCATCTCCACCTTCTTCTGCCTACTTATTGGATGATAGGTTGTTGGTTGGTTCGATACCAGGCCAGAGTCTCTTGGTGTGTTTTCTTTCTGGCCATCTGGTCTATACCGTCGATATCGAGCGTAAGTGGCAGCTGTTAATGAATGTCTGCAGTTTGTTGGAAATGCTTTTCTTAACGCGTCAAGTCTCTGAACCATCATATAGAAGCATTGACTCAACTGAATTAGTGTTGAAAATGCGGATGTTGTTCACGCTTTATGCTGTGTGCAGTGCAGTAGATCTTCATACTGGTTTCAGATTAATGAAGGCCTGTTTTGCTGTCTTTCGGATTCTGGCTTTGACATATTCATCTGTGCTGGCTGTAGTTGAAACGATCCTGCTGAGGTCGGTGAAACAGACAGCTTCGTTTCGATTTCTCCCGTTGAGGGTGATTGGCGCTTGTGTTTGTTGGTCTTCTCTATATTTACTTGAAGTCCCGTCTTTGCTGCCTCCTCTGTCAACTTGTTAGTTTTTGCCTGTAGATCTTCCAGTTTGTGCGACATTAAACATAAATCATCTGCGAAGTCCAAATCCTCTAGGGTCTTTTCATCGGTCTAGCCAGCATATGCCTCTCTTGTCGCTCCTCAAAGTTTGTTGCATGATCCAGTCCACCACACTTAGGAATATCATCGGTGATAGTAGGCTGTAGCTTTGTCTTACTCCTGTCTTCACTTTCAATCCAAAGGCACTACTGAGCTTTTAATTGTGAGTCACTTAACATGTGGCGTGTCATATAGCTGTAGAATGATGTTGATAAAAGTTTGTGTCAGTAAAACTGTAGTGCTGAAGGAGCTGTCTGCTAAATTACTTCTCGGTCGATGCCATCGAAGACCTTTTGAAAATCGATGAAGTTGAGGTAAAGATCCAGCTGATTGCCATTTCATGCTCTGTTCTATGGTGATGCGTAGCGCAGTGTAATTTGATCCGCACATGACTTGTCTTCCCTAAAGCCGGCCAGCCTGTTCCGGTCGTAATTTTGAATGTAGAGCATTGTTTAGTCTCTCCAGGACCATGTGGCCTAATATTTTGCTTTGTGTAGACAGGAGCATGATTCCGTGCTATTTCTTGGAAAGTCTTTAGGAGTTTGACAAGGTATCCCTTCTTCCAATCGATCAGAAGGTATCTTCCCTTCCTAACCTTCTGCAATGGTGGCGTGAGCATGTCCGCTGTCGTCTCTGAATCTCTTTTCACTGCCTCTGGTGGAATTCCATCTGTGCCAACTGCTTTCCCGGATTTCAGCAACTTTATGGCGTTCAGGACTTCGCTCCTGCTTTTGTCGAAAGGCTTGTGTTCACTGATAGTTCTGTGGCTGGGCGTCTGGTGGTATTTCTGGACAAGTTGCAGGTGATCGATTCAAGAGTTTTTTGAAGTGGTCAACCCTTCGTTTCTCCTGTTTGGTAACTAGGTTTTCTTCACTATCTTCCATTGGTTTCATCTTTGCTAATCTCTTCCATCCCAGATAGTAACCTGGTTACTTGATATAATGTTGTCAGGTCTCTGTCTCTCCTACCTGCAGCCTGTTCAACTTTACCTGCAAGTGTGTCATAGAAGTGTTTTTTGTCTTTCCCCTCTAAAGAGGAAGCCATGGACAAACAGGTATAGATTATGAAACTACATATGATCTTAAATAAGATCCTAAACTTTAGAATATTGATCCTTGTCGTATGTGTGCAGCGCACGATTTTCAAGCCATTCTGAACCCTCTTGCAACCTAATCCAACTTCTGGCATTTCATATCACTGAAGTTTCACAACCTCATCAACCGCCTATCCTTCCTTGCCTAGTACCTTTCGCACTCATAGGCTCAACAACCGCCTGCTTTCTTCAACCGGTAAGGTGCAAACATACACGAGCCCTTACTAACATGTGATCGGAATTCAAACTGGTACTGTAGAAAGAGTGACTATTCTCCATTGATCCTTCCCAATCGTCATATGTTACTGTGATAACTCCTAAGCTTTTTATTTCTTTATATGCTTCTCACCATGTCATATTTAGATAAATAGTGATTATTTACTTCTTTGCCAGAAAAAAATGCACCTATTGTCATTTCATCTTATTTTATGTTCTTAGATAATGTTTCGAGGATCTGCTAGTTCAACTGCTTCTAGTCTCATGAAATTTTCTCACTTAGTTAGCAACATTTCCAGACGCATCACATTATGTCATTACAGTGTTGTACAGTTAGATAATAAATATCTTCCCAATATTCTAAGTGGTATATTTGACGAAATACAAAGCTAACATATTAAAAACGTTCATTGAGTGCAGTAGAGATTTTCAAATTAATAAGGGTTTTAAGCGCATGTTAATATATACTCTACCATGTTATACTGAAACTTCAAGTTATCAACTTTACGTAAGCTTTGACTAATATAGTGAACTCTTGTATAACAAAGAGATTGGTTCAGCGTTGACGTGCCACTACTACTACTACTTCATAGTACTTCAGATGTCTCAATGATTCAAGACAACTTAGTTGCTGAAGTTAATAATACTATTTTTAAATAGTTTTATAAGAATTTATTTCTAGATGTTCTCAGTTTTAGTGCAGAAATGAATAATCATTCATTACATTGAACAGTAGGTTGCACTAAACACGCAATAATAATAATAGGTTGGTATAATTACTTTTAAGAATATGAATGACTACTCACTTTATGGGATTAAATTTATCAGTTTCATTCTAACAGAACAACTTTCACTTGTCGATATGATCGTATGAACGAGCATAGTTTCCTTATTGTGTTAATTATTATCCTATTAGACAAGTTATAGATATATTAGTATAATTTAGCAGTGACTAAAATGGAAATTCATTATGCATACTTCATTCTTTCCGTTGTCTATCAGCTGATTTTATCTGCGTTCCAATGATCTATTGTATTTCCATGATTCTCAAACTCTATACATTTCTCCTCTTGTCTCTCCTCTTGTCAATAAGTATAAAGGCTGTATATTGTAACATCATATGAACACATATTTTCAGTCACTAGAAACTAATCAGCTGTTGCACCACATGTATTCACATTTTGCCAGTATATTTCGCTTCAATCTTGAACTTTCATAGTCAAAGCAACAGTCTAAGTATTGTCTGCATGTATTAGCCTTTTATTTTTTTTTATAATTATTATGTTTTCTCGTCCATTGTATTCTTTTGGTTGTATTGTGTTCTCTCAGCTAGCTGGGTTGTTTAATTCTCAAACTTTCATCGTCTTGCTAGACGACATCATCAGGACTAACTTCAGGATGAAGTGACCTGTCAATATCCCTCCATGAGTAATTTAGTAGCTGGCTCCGATGAACAGGTTTGTGATTGGTTGTTTCCTTTGATTGTTGTGTCATTGACTGTACAGATTTTCCTGTTGGCTGTTCCTCTTCTTCACCTCTGACTTTTCTGTCGCTCATCATTTTTCTTATTGGTTGATAGATTGGATCTATATTTATGCGTCTGTTGATTGCTGACTGGCCTGAATGCTATGTTTCTAGGAATTCTCTGGTATTTTTTGTGTTTCCTCTCTCTGTTCAATATTTCCACATTGTCAAAATTGAATTCATGTCCATAATTATCCACGTGCATTGAAACGAGTGATGAAATGTCGTGACGTTTAATAGCCAATGGGTGTTCATGTAAACGAAGGTGAAGAGGACAACCACTTTGTCGAATGTAGTGTTGACTACAGTTATTGCAGTTGATTTTGTAAACGATGTTTGGTTTGTCTTGTTTGGTTGTTGCATCCTTTGGTCTGCATAATAGTGTTTGGAGGGAATTTGTTGGTTTATGAGCCACACCAATTCAACCGAGGGGTTTCAGTACTGTTGTCGTGATTTCTGATATATTCTTTATGTATGGTAGGAAGATGCGTTTGTTGATTTGTGTTGATGACTTTGTAGTTGATGATGCACGGTGTAGGCATCTTGTGATAAAGTTTTATGGGTAGCTGTTCTTCTTTAGGATGGACAGAGGAAACACAAAGAATATCAGAGAATCCTTAAAAGCTTGACATTCAGGTCAGTCAGTCAGCACTCAATAGATGTATAAACATAGATCCAATCTATCAACCAGTAAGAAAAACGATAAACGACAGAAAAGTCAGGGGTGAAGCAGAGGAACAGCCAACAGGAAAGTCTATACAATGAATGACACAACAATCGAAGGAAACAACCAATCACAGACCACATCGTCAGAGCAAGCTACTAAATCACCGACGGAGAGATATTGACAGGTCACTTCATACTGAAGTTAGTGCTGATGATGTCGTCTAGCAAGACGATGAAAGTTTGAGAATTAAACAACCCAGCTAGCTGAGAGAAAGCAGTACAACCGAGACCATCCACCTGAGCTACAAATATTCTCCATTGTTGTATTCTTTTATTGATTGAAAGTTTCACGTTCTGATTTTGTAGATCCCTCTAACGTTCAAATATGCGATATGAGCCCTTTAATTTGGGATCGAAATTTAATGTATGAATATAGGTATGTAATGTTAATTTTTAGCATGCCATATATTCATGGTATTTCCTTTTTTTATTATGATGTCGAAAAATCTTAATCAGGTTGAATGTCGTCCAGTGAAACCTGTATATTTATAATATCTATCTGGAGGTGATTTTTTTCTGGAGTTATCTATCTGTTTAGCTTATAATTCAATATCGAACGACAGCCCACATCGTATTTGAATGAATAAATATCATCATCTCCATCAAGACCAACACAGGACCAGGCATTACTGCGTAACGGTCCAAGTTGTCACACCTCATATATCAGCACATCAAGTAACGAGGCAATAAAGTGGAAGATGTAGAAGGAAACAGAAACCGATCAAAAGAAGTAGAAAGTAGAAGAAGAGAAGAAGGAAGAAATAGATGATGAGGTTAGGTATAGCGCTTAGATGAGGATAATGTGTGTATTCATCTGCGCCACTGAGCTATATCACTTAGAGTCTTCAACCACAGGTCCCTTTTGTCCCCCGCGTATCAGTCGGCTAGTTTACACCGCCCTTCTTGGCTTAAGTGAGCAGTCAAGGACTTCATGCATTGATGTTATGTTGTGGTCTGGTCTGAACCTACTTCAAACAACATTGTGTGATGCGGCAGACGGTGGTTGAGCATGTGTAACGCAAGTCCCTACCATCTCAGTCGATGAAGGTTCACAACTGCGTGACCCATCTTACCTCTCCTCGACAAGTATTCCCTCTGATTGGCCGCTGTGTCCAACTTCATGTTATCCAGCCCTTGGTCCTAATCTAATTCTATCGATCATTTTGTAGTGTGGTCACCAGGTTAGTCGACTCAACATTGCGACGCACGTTGTTAGATTTTAGTCCGATGGAGGTGGTCGCTACCAATGCGCATCGCAGTGTTGAATCAACCAGTCTGGTGGCCAGACTGTAAAATGATCGATGGAGTTCGATCAGCACCAAGGACTAGATAACATAAAGTTGTTTACCCTGCAGTGACCCATAAATGTCCCTAATCCAGTCCTATAGAAGGTCATTCATGGCCCGAATAGCTCAGTGGTAATGTCTCTGACTGCAACACTGGTTGGTGAGCGTTTGAATCTCAAGCGGGACATCAGTTCCGTAGAGGTTGGAGATACGCTTTGCTGATGAGCTCTAAAAGCATGAAACCTAAATTCATGGCTTTTTGCAGATTACCTCCGCCCAACTAACAAATATTCCCTCTGTTTCGTGTTTCCAGAATCACCTTTCCAAGAGGAAACTTTTATAGAATTAGACTGTACATCATTTGCTGGCTAGTTTTATGTAGAATAATGAAATACTTATAAAGATAGTAAAACGAAAGTCTTTTTGATCAGTTATGCAACTGTACTACTATCCATCTCACATATCGTAATCACCTGTTGTCTTTTTTATTGAAGATTTCTATATCTTTCCTTCCACTGTCTTAACATTCATATGTGGAACCTGAACATCAAAGTGGAGAATTTCATCGAACACAGTGAACATCATATCACAATAAAATATCTCCATCTTCCCTGTTTAATTGCTATTTTACTCTGTTGTATTTTTTTAAAATCTTAAGTTGATTTCTTTATTTTTTTTTCCCCTGCAACATCTTTGCGAATTCTTTAAAATAGCCTATATTCTAGTATAAGTTTTGTTTACTTCACCTTCGGTATCGTATTACAAAGATCAGTTATTAGTTATGCTATGATAAGTATTGTTGAACATCAGTTATGAAATCTTGATACATATTTAATAAATTTATGTGCTACCTAACAATCAACGTAGACTATCCAGTGATAATTGTTTGTTTTGAAAGTGAATAATTTCTTAAACATGATAGTTCAAGGCTATAAAAGCTTGACAAATGTTTACTTGATATCTTGTTTCTATTAGGTGTCTAGGGACTGCGCTACTAAAAACTTTGCTATCTTTCCAAAACAGATTTCTCAGAATATGCTCATAACATCTTCTTTCGGTCCTTCCTATGTGCTTCCTTCCACAAGTACAGGTGGAAAGAAGGGGGGGGGGACAATAAATAGCTCCAGGATTTTCTATCTCAAATCCGGTTTCTTCTATGCTTTATTCTTCTTTAGGCTGTTCATTTTTCGGAATGCTATACATTTAATTCACTTGACAAATTTGTATAATACAAGAACAAAGATATTTGCAGTATGAAATGAGCTCATTTTACCTCATGGTCTTCCATCGACTGCAAACAGCCTATAACTGAATGAAATATAAGTAGTAATGAAGATATTACATACTTTATATATGTAGAGATAAGTGGAGGTTGGAAATTCAGGAATGACAATATGGTAGTGAGTCGAGGAAACACAGGCTTATTAATCGAAAACTGTAGTTAAAACCAGTGGCAATTTATACATATCTGATGAGCTAAAAAAATTATAGAGCTATACAAAGGGGGACAACAAGCACACAGAAGTTTAAAAGAAAGGATTGTTAAAAAAACTAGTAAGTTAGGTAACTACATGAAAATACTGGAAAAATGTTAGCCTGACTGCTTAACAGTCACTAAGTAATTCATGAAAGGATGATGGAATCAAAAAAAACTATATACAGTTACCAGAGTAAACAAAGTTTAGTTACACGGGATTCACGGCTGCCCTTCATGAACGACCTTCCGAAAACCCATAAAATGAGTATTCCTTTGATTACTCATTTTATCCATGATAAATTCATTATGTCATAATTTGGCTCGCTGGTTAGTAAAGAAATAGGAGCCCATCAGAAAAAACGTTCGAAAATCACCGATTGAAGGATACATTCCAATTTTCTAAAGAACTGGATAGTTTAGATATTTCATATAAATTCATGGTGTCATTTGATGTTTCCTCATTGCTTACGAACATACCAGTGGATGGAACGATAGACGTAATCTGTCAGTAATCTGATCTAATACCATTATCGAAAACAGAGCTCAAACAATTACTGTTCTCTGTACAAAAGGCGTTCTGTCCCAGTTTAATAATCAAGTATACTGGCAAACTGATGGAGTCACTATGGGTTCACCACTAGGACCTATCCTAGCTGATAGATTTATGGGTCTTCTCGAACGACCATGTCTGATGTCTGCGATCAAGAAAACGATATATTACCATAGGTATGTCGACGATACTTTCATTGTTTGTTATAAAATGAATTATGCGTTGTAGTTGTTCTATGTCTTCAACCAAGCTCGTCCAAATACGAATTTTACAATGGAATACGAAAATGAGAACAGATTCACATTTTTGGATCTGAGTATAAGACAGATATTTGATGGTACAATTGAGGAAACCATCCACAGGAAAGATACATTAATTGGACAGTATCTTCACTATGCTGGTTTCTGTTGTGTCAGCGTATAAGCGTGGTTTAATCAGGATGCTCTTCACTAGAATAAGAACGCTATGCTCAAGAAATAAACGAAAAGAATTCGGTATCATTGAGAAGACTTTTATAGAGGATGGATATCCGAAGAAATTTATCATGAAGCATGAAAAAGACTTTATTGGGAGACCCAAACACCCAACTGTTGAGAAGCCTGTTTTCTTCTCTCTGGTATTCAAGAGTGACGAGATATCTGAAAGAACAGATAGAAGAATAAAAGCTGCACTGAGAAGGAGATTCCCTGAGGCCAGATTGATCTCAGTATGCTTATGAACACAGTAGAAAGTCGACAAGTAATACCGAGGTCACGTCACTAACTATGTATAACAATTCACCTGTACTTGTGGAGGCAAGTACATTAGACAGACCAAAAGAAATGTCTACTCAATTTTATGAGCGTATTCCGAGAAATATGTGTCTGAAAGGTAGCAAGATTTTAACCATTGCAAGTCAGATTGAAAATGTTTGATAGCGAGAGCTGTTGCAAACCGTAATAAACAAGCCGTTCTTTGTTTGTTGACTATCCTGAAAGCTTGAGAAATGTCTACTTGATATCTTGTTTCTATTAGGTGTCTAGGGACTGTGCTACTAAAACTTTGCTATCTTTCCAAAACAGATTTCTCAGAATATGCTCATAACATCTTCTTTCGGTCCTTCCTATGTGCTTCCTTCCACAAGTACAGGTGGAAAGAAGGGGGGGGGACAATAAATAGCTCCAGAATTTTCGATCTCATCAGATGTTTATAAATTGCCACTGGTTTTGACTACAGTTTTCGATTAATAAGCCTGTGTTTCCTCGACTCACTACCATATTGTCATTCCTGAATTTCCAACCTCCACTTATCTCTACATATATAAAGTATGTAATATCTTCATTACTACTTATATTTCATTTCAGTTATAGGCTGTTTGCAGTCGATGGAAGACCATGAGGTAAAATGAGCTCATTTCATACTGCAGATTTCTTATTTCTTTGATTATTCAAATCTGTTCATTTTAGTTGTGATTTCCTGATAACTTATTGACAGGTGTTACTTTTACAGGGTGATCAGACTTGCATATTCCAATAATCTACCGAGCTATACTAATTGGAAAGATTGTTTCTTGATATCATAGTATACTAAGAACGACTACCGTTATTGCATAAATTTATTTATCTGTAATAGATGTCTAAGGTTGTAGTTGTGCTGCTGAATGGACGATAAAGCGAAATGTTGAGATATAGTCGTGCTAAAAGATTACTTCAACATTAAACGGGGCCAATCAGAGCCGTCACCGATAATCATCTCCAACAATTTTTTTCTGATAATCACTTGTTCCTAATTAATATTCATTTACGTCCTAAAGAGGGATATTGTTTGAAATTGGTATCCACAAGCATCAAGCCAACGATGAATGCAGATAGGTCATAGTGTTATAAGTCATAGTTTTATTGGATTGATCGAGGACTCCTGTTCTTTCTAAGATACATCCTTGGAATCTGACTATTCATTAGTTCAAGCATGTGTTTATCTGTGTAAATGGGTACAGCAAACAATTTTCGGAAATTTTTAAAATGTAAGCATCAGGTTCGTACCCAGACCGAAGGTATATGGGTATTTACACGAAGATGACATTAATTCTTATCCTATGAACTTCAGTGTTTTATTCAGTCTGTAAAAACAGCGGTATAGATACTTAGTAACATGAGACTAAAGGCTAAAGAACAGCACTGCATCTTTAAAGTGTCATTTTAATTGATTGATGTAACAAAACTCATTCTAGTTGTCTTAATCACAACGAGTTACCGAAGCAACTTGTAAGCAAACTCACTAGTAATTTAGTTGATCTTTGTGAGAAGTGATAAAAGACAAAGGTGAAAAACATAAAGAAATCGTAGGCTCTGGTCACTATTTCACAGTTATTTACGTTTAAATAAAAAGATTGCTGTAAGGTGGATGATGGTCAGTGGAACTGTCTTGGAGAAGAATGTTTACTCTATAACCTCCAGGTCGTCGGACAATTTTTTAGAGCACTTTGAAGAACTGTTTGAATATCCTGCAGCCATGCTTCAGTTGCTCAGTATTTACTGTCTGAATGGTATGTTGGCTTCGGTCCTTCAAGTGTTACCGTAGCTGATGAAGCTTTTCAGAAAGTGGAGCTTGTTTAAGCAGATTGGTCCAAATTTTAATCATTCTTGTTTGTAAGAAGAAAGCAATCTTCCTGCAACACCAACAACAGAAATATAGACATGTTACAGAGGAATGAAAGTCTAGGAATCATGGCTTTCCTCTGTGATATGTTTTGAAATGCAGTCGTTGTAACCACTGCCTAAAGAAAACAAAGTTTGCCAACGTGAAAGTTGCATTCACCTCTGCTGATTATTAGGTTTTGATTCAGTGTATGACAGTGAAAAATGCACATAATACTCACTCATAAATCCCCTCTGTCTGGATTCATGCAGTGTTGTATAAACTTGTAGTTGATAGTAACCATCGCATTTCACCAGGAATGTTTATTCCCCCTTTCCTTATCTAATTTTGTTAAAAATCCACTAATAAGTATCATCCTATTTACCATTGACTTCTAAGGAATCGATTTATTCAAAGCCAAGATCTTAGACCATTAGTTGAAGTGGTCATTTGAGCTTGACAGAAATCTGAGTTTATTTCGCGTACATTTTGAGCCTGTCAAATGTAAGATGATGCTAAAAGTCTTCTTTAATCGACTCTTGATTTAAGGATACGTAGGAAATAGTGTAATGAACTGTAAAAATTCACTCATTTGAGTAGTTTCGTCTTGTTTTGTATATATTAAAGTATCGATTACTTGTATGTACTGTATTAGACGAATTAAGTTTGTTCTATCTGGAGGTTTTTGGAGGTTTATTAATTGATTTTAGGTCGGTATTCATTATGTATTGACATCAGTTGGAGGAAAATGAAAACCTGGGAGCACTGGACAACCGTTTCGTCCTTGTATGCAGTGCGCACCGATGACCCAGCCCGCATTGGGATCGAACCTAGGACCTTCAGGTTCCGTGGCCAGCACGTTGCCATCAAACCACTGGGTCAGAATCCATTGGTCCACATTTCCTACTTCTATCAGTTCATGATATAGCGTGACCTACATCGATTGTCGTCGTTGAGTAACTGTTCTCATGTTCGACTTGGTCGACTCTGCTGGTCACGACTTCCTACTGGAACTTCGGGAATCACCTCTCGAAGCTAGTCACCAATGAGGACTAGATTAATTCTATCTGGAGGTTTATGGAGGTTTATTAATCTGTTTTAGGTTGGTAGGTAGGTTCAACGACGACATTGGATGTAGGTCGTGCTATATCGTGAACTGACAGAAGTAACAAATGTGGACCTTTGTATTCCGACCCAGTGGCCCAGTGGTATCCCGGTGGCCACGGAACCTTAAGGTCCTGGGTTCTATCCCTGGCGGGGTTATGGGTTCTCACTGCTGAGGAGTCCCATACCAGGATGAAACCACTGTCCAGTGCTCCCAGGTTCCCAATTCTCCTCCAAATGATGTCAGTCCATGGTGAATTAAGTTAATGTTGTGTATCTGAGCTGTGTAGCTAAGGTATTAAGTGTATTGGAAATCAGTGGTTAAAACTCTCTTTGACATTAGTGTTATTGCTTGTATGATACCATCGTTGACTGCACCGAATTGATCAGTCTCTGTTGGCATATGTGTTTTAATTATGTATAGTAATGATGGGCAGTGGCTAGCAGTGGAATCCAGGATGCGCATTTCGTCCTATTTGGGACTCGTCAACTGGATGCACCTGCCTCCCAGTGAGTGATGTTGTTCCCACCGGGATTTAGACTCGGGAGCTATCGCTTCGAACGCCAGAGAGTTATCCACTACACCACGGAGCCACGATAGCCACTTCTTGTGGGACGGGTATAGTTTTAGTGTTTTATGTTGTATGACACCGTCGTTGATTGCACCGAATTGATCAGTCTCTGTTGGCATATGGGCCCCTGTGCGGATGCCTCGATATTGCCTGTGTTTTAATTATGTATATTAATGATGGGTAGTGGTTAGCAGTGGAATCCAAGAACGCTCCCGAGTCCCGGTGGGAACAATATCACTCACTGGGAGGCAGGTACATCCAGCTGACGAGTCCCAAATAAGACGAAATGTGCATCCTGGTTTCCACTGCCTATCATTACTATCTTTGACTTTACTGAAAATCAACCACAATTATGTAAATTTATTCACTTCTTATCTTCTTTAAAATGTATCAACCTACATTCATTTATTATACTTTCTGTTGTGCTCTTATCAAATTATTTTACTATGATTCTTTTTTTTATTCTTTTATGAAGTATAATAACTTGAACTGCTCCGGTATTTTTCCGATTCTCTGCATAAATAATGTATCCATTTATCAGTTTTTCTTCTGTAGTCTTTACTTTGATGAAAATCAAAGATGAATTTCTGATGATTTTATTTTGTCTTTTTCTGAACACTTTTATTCAGTTAAGTTTAAATTTGGTGAATTTTGCAAAGTGCTTTATTCGCCCTAATATATATTAAACTTGATAGTGGATTCTGTGACCTTCATTAGATATTTTATTAATTGACCTCATTTTTATTCTACAGAATCCATTACATATCAAAAGTTGTGTTAATAATACTTTATTATTATTATTATTATTATTATTATTATTATTATTATTATTTATCCCTTGGGTTCCTAGTAGAACATAAGGCTTCAGTAGCACGTCACCATTTCACTCTCTTCTCTGCAATCTTTTCAATCTGGCTCAAAGACTGCCCTAAAACTCTCATTTGTTCATCCTCACACAATCTCCTCCATATCACCCTTGTACTCCTAACTCGTCGTTCCCCATTGGGTTCCTCTCAGGGGATTTGGCGCATGATGTCCACAAACGGTAGTCTCAGTGTATTATATCCAATCCAATCCATCTCCACTTTCTTCTGCATATTTGTTGGGCAATAGGTTGTTGGTTGGTTCGTTGTCAGACCAGAGTTCGTTGTTGTGCATTCTTTCTGGCCATCTAATCTTCAGTGTCAATATCGAGTGAGTGTAAGTGGCAGCTGTTAATGAATGTCTGAAGTTTGTTGGGAATGCTTTTCGTAACGCGCCAAGTCTCTGAAGCATTATATATAAACACTGACTTGACTGAATTAGTTTTGAAAATCGTTATCTTGTTCTTTATGGTTAATAATCGTGTATTATCGCTTTTTCTGTTTACCCATCCATATATAGTTTGAATACAGACAATTTACAACGGATGTGTACTCATAATCTGAATGCAGTACTTCATACTCATCGGAAGGATTTGATTCGAGTAAGTTTGTGTGTGTGTGTTTATCATTTGATTATAGTTCATGATCGACTTTGTAAATGCTTTTATTGTTTTGGAGATGGCGAATATTTGTAGCTTAGGAGAAGAATTTCGATGGTGTTGTATTCTCTGAACTGGATGGTTTGATCGTGAAGTTTTCATTGTCATTGTAAACTACATCATCAGCACAAACTTCAGAAAGAAGTAAGCTTATTACATCATCCAAATACATCAAGTGTGTTATGAACATTGGAATTCTACACTCTCAATGTAATATTCTTGGCTGTTAATACTGATCTTATGTCATCTATCTCAAGCATTACTTCATCTGTCATTGGGTTACTATTAATACTCTGGTAGAACTTTTATCATAGTAAAGGTTGATTCTGTTCTCGTTTATTCGTTAGATATAAAGCACACTGGATAAGGTTTGGCACACAATTTGTTTCTGATAATCTTATCGAGCTAAGCTGACGCATGTTTCCTCTAATTTTTTTCTGGATACTTGGTTCCTTTCCTTTTTTCACATAAGTACAGTTAGAAAACACTTGGTTACACGTAGGTATTCATTTGTTAAGCTCCTAGACCAATTTACCTACCAATCGTTAAAGTACTCGGGAGCTATACATAAGTGTGACCCTGCTTATAAGCTTATGTTTAGAACCAATATACCATCTAAGGAGACCGTTCTAATGGTTTACTTATGTCGGGTGTCTACAGATCTTTTAAAGTTTAAGAATGAAATATTTGGTCATATAGTTATCAATATCACCAATCGTCGCAGACATATGTTTGAATATCATGGAATGTGTAGCTCCCTAAACACTAAACCTTACTCCAAAGGTTTGAAGGAGATGTATTAATGACTTTTTTTAACATGCTGAAATTAGAAAGTGTTTATACGCCATAAATTAACTTAGTAATAGACGTAACCCATTAGGAAATAATGAAGGAAATTAGTTGACTTTAAAGATGAAGCATAAACGAAATCAAATTTATGTTCACAGAAATCCTTTGCATTCAGAGTTTCAGTAATAAATAAAGGGATCTTGATGGCGAATAACTAACATTGTACATTTACCCAGACGTTCATAAAAAATTGTCAGAAAAATAATTGTTGTTGTATCAAAGACGTCAACTATAGAAATAAAAATATCAATAGCATGAAAAAAACAATATAAAATCTTCATAGCCCCCTGCCGTACAAGGAAATTACTTCAGAGACGTTAAGGAGGATTTTCCAACTAAGTTGGAATTAGAGACTCATTTGGAAACACAGTTTACCGATGAAGGATTCTATATAGCCTATTCAACAAAATAACTTAGTCTACCAACATTTTTTAAGTGTGATTGACCAAAGTTATTTAGGTTATAGGAACACAAATCTCGACCACATAGTTATTTATTTAAAAAATTTTACCATCTTTGAAACATAAATGAAAGGATTAGAAGTTATTGTATACTGAGTGATAAAGTTGTGATTGCCTTAATTTATTTATGAACAATAGATTGTGCTAGAAACTATATCCAGTATGTAATTGTTGATAAGCCCCAGATCTGCACAAAACATTGTTTATTAATCTAAACATTTATAACTTATCATTTTTGTGGCATAGCTAGTAGTTCATTTTTGCTCCTATTTTCAAGATAATTCGCCTATTGGTTAATACTTACTTTTACTATGTTAATATTACAAATTTTTTCGACAAATGTCATATCTCATGTTTACATACACCCGTGTGTAGTTGAATGAGTTGATGATTATTCTCGGATGAATAAATTCTTTTATACAGTTCAATCTTCTTGATTCGTCTCTCGATTTGAAGTCTATGTTTCTTTCGTATGAAGTTAACTCGGAATATATGACAATAAAACTCTCTCACTTTATGATACATCAACCAACTGACATTGAATCATCTAATTACAAATGCTCATACTCAAATTTTGTCTCTTATACATCAACTGCTGCTCTAGTAGCTAAAGAGTAAGTAACATGCCTAACTGTGGTATTGGACGACGTTAATTTAATGTTGTAAAATGCTAGAAATATGTTGGAGGTGGTGATACTTATCTATGGATGAGCGACTTAACTTGTTAACCTTAACTCATGGGTTCCTACCAGCACGTATGCTGTATGCTTGTTGATTGTGTATCTCATTCGATGTTTTCGTGCTTATTTGAATATTCGTTTTTTGAAAATGTGACTGTATATTTTATGTGCATCTTGTTTAGTACTAAGGCATCAGGATATATTTTTTTATACAGAAACTCCCAGACAAAGATCTTTAAAGCTCTTAAACATATATGCGTTATCATGTAGTGCGTGTTAAGAAAATTATAGATTTATATAAATTTTTCCGAAGAAGATAAACCTTATTTCAAACGAGGCAGAATGTCATTTAATGTCTGATATTTACCTCTGTATTCACAAAAGGAGAAAGTTAAGTGCAATAGTGAGTTGTATTGTTACGTTGACAGTGTATTCCAAGTGTCCTTATTGGTATAATCAAAACTAAACTACCTTACAATATCATACTGTATTACAAACATCTAGGCCATAGTTGTTATGAATGTCCTATCATACTACATTTTATGAATCCCCAATGTAAGCATACGTTTTCAGTTTTAATAAACTTATTCAATCGTTAGGTGAATTCTTAGATTTTCTACATAGTTACATTTTTTGCTAGCTCAAAGAAATCACCATAATCCTCATATTAGTCAGGATATTGCAGTGTATATGCTTTTAAAATCTAATTGTGAAGCTTTTTCTCTGATAAATCTGATTTTCGTTTCATGATCAAAATTCTTCTGTAACCTCTTTTATATATGTGTAAACTTACGATGTTTTCTTTTAGTTCAGTAATCTGATCACTAAATTCTCCAGTATTATTACATGAATCTCGATACAAGCTTAAATCGATTAGATGTTGTTACTGAATGCAAAATACATTGGAACTACTAGTTAAATATGGTGAGAGGGGGATACTCTGGACCAGGGAAAAGATCCTAGAAGATTTGGATTTCACCGATGACTTGTGTCTAATGTCGCACAAACTGGAAGATCTACAGGCAAAACCCAACAAGTCGACAGAAGAGGCAGAGCAGGGCAGCGAAGACGGGACTTCAAGTGAACGTAGAGAAGATGGAGGTGATTAAGATACCCAACCCACATCAACAACAACAAGCTCCAGTCACCATGAACGGGAGAAACTTTTTCACCTATCTAGGCAGCATCATTTCAACTACAGGTGGCAGCACAAACGAGGACGTCAAAGCAGCCAGGATCGGAAAGATAGCAAGACAGGCGTTCATTAACCTGAAACCAGTGTGCAGATCTTCTGCACTCAGCATGTGGAACAAGATCTGGATTTTCAAAACTAATTCAGTCAAGTCAGTGTTTATATATAATGCTTCAGAGACTTGGCGCGTTACGAAAAGCATTCCCAACAAACTTCAGATACTCATTAACAGCTGCCACTTACACTCACTCGATATTGACACTGAAGATTAGATGGCCAGAAAGAATACACAACAACGAACTCTGGTCTGACAACGAACCAACCAACAACCTATTGCCCAACAAATATGCAGAAGAAAGTGGAGATGGATTGGATATAATACACTGAGACTACCGTTTGTGGACATCATGCGCCAAATCCCCTGAGAGGAACCCAATGGGGAACGACGAGTTAGGAGTACAAGGGTGATATGGAGGAGATTGTGTGAGGATGAAGAAATGAGAGTTTTAGGGCAGTCTTTGAGCCAGATTGAAAAGATTGCAGAGAAGAGAGTGAAATGGTGACGTGCTACTGAAGCCTTATGTTCTACTAGGAATCCAAGGAACAAATAATAAATAGTGTAAATTGGTTTCATTAATTATTTTCTGAAAGTAATTTTATATGTTATGTGTTACTAGTTGGAAAAGTGTGATCGCTTAATGTTTGACTTTACTTATGGACTCCTCAGAAGTGCTCAAAATCTATACGATATTTGATATATTACTGTTGATATATTTTCGAGATACTTGTTATGTTTTTCGCTTTTTATTTCTGTTATTTCATGGATTTTTTTCTTTCTTTTTACATTTTTATTTGTCTAGTTTTGGCAGTATGCTTTAGTACTGTCGGTTTCATTTGGTCATCTAAATAACTTTTATCAAACTGATAAGCCTTTAGCTTCACAATTGATCGGAAGGCCTCTGTTTGATACATGGTAGGTTTTTAACTTTTATATTAATGATTTGTTTTTGCTATTTCTACGTTAGCGTATTAAATGCCTGTAAAAAATGTCTAAATATCATTATGTTTAAATGGACAACATACATAGAATCTAAACCTTATTACAACCGATACATATGGCGCTTTGCTTTGATCAAGTATATTTTATTATATTACTTTATTCATTGTACAACCTCGCCTAGTTCACTAGCTGGTCGTAAGCCCGGATAAATAGGGAAGGTTGGGTGTAGGGCTATCGACCTTACTGTGGAAAATCAACCCCATTCACTAAAGAAACTTCAAAGGACAGAGGAAATATGAAAAAATAGACTTATTCATTGTATGCTTCCTTGAGAAATCAATGATGTATCCTTCTGAATAAAAATATACTGATACCTGTATATCATTAAAAATACAATAATGTATTGTTCTAGTATAGAATCTTTTCTGAATAAGGATTCTTTTAGTAATAGACCAGACTTTTGTCAGTTTTATTTTCTTTTAAGTCAAACTATATTTAATAGTCAGCTAGCCAAATTCAAGGGATCTGAAATTATTTGGTTGTTTTTGAGCTGATTTTGCCAGAGTAAGCTTATTGATTAGGTCAACCTTAAGCCAGTTGAACGATCATCCAATGTTTACATCACTGATCTGGCTGACGTATTCTTCAGATCAGCAACTCAAAGTGTCTATTAGTAGCATATATTTAACATTGTTACCACGGAAATATGTTCAGCTACAGTGTAAAATAAGCAGTACAGTATTTCAACAACAATTTCCTCTTCACCTAATACTTTTAAATGAAGCCAAGTTTTGTTTTACTATACTAAATCTAGTAATCATAAATTCTTATGAACGTATATGTTGTTTTCCCTGAGAAAGGATGAGAAGAAAGTTTCGCATATGGATGCTTATTATCTGATAAAACAATATTGGCCAGCTTCCTTGCCAAACTTCAATTATCTGTATGTAACTGTATCCAATAACAAAGTGTATGTATAAACTTGTCAACGTTATTGACAGTCTTACCTTAATAAACGGTAATCTGTTCTCAAGAGTACAGCAAAGCTTTAGGCTCAGTAAAAAGTGGGAATGCGTCATGCATAGGAATTAAGTTATACAAAATACACAACACTAAATAAAAGGATTATGAAGAACCAGAATACATGCATCAGCAAATATAAGCAAGTATAGATACCTTACTGATAACATTTCACACACTATTATTATTATTATTATTAATCCCTTGGGTTCCTAATGGAAAATAAGGCTTCAGTAGCACGTCATCAGTACACTCTGTTTTCTGCAAACTTTTGAACTTGGTTCCACGACTGTCCGCAAACTCTCATTTTTTCCTCGTACGATCTCCTTTATGTCACCCTCGGACGCCCAACTCGTCGCTTCTCATCTGGGTTCCACTCGAGTGCCTGGTGCATGATGTCCCAAGTTGGCCTTCTCAGTGCAGACGGCCTTGTTTTACTCCTTTCTTCACTTCAAAAGCATCCCTGAGCTTCCCATTATGAATTACTTGGCATGTGGCGTCTTCATTTAGTTGTTAAATGAGGTTGATAAAGGTTTGTGGTATTCCGTAGTGTTGAGGCAGCTGTTAAATTACTTCTCGGTCGACGCTGTCAAAAGCCTTCTCAAAGTCGATGAAGTTGAGGTAGAGAGTTGACTGCCATTCTATACTCTGTTCTATGATGATGAGTAGTGCGGCGGTGCAATTTGGTCTGTACATGATTTGTACTTCCTGAATCCAGCCAGCCTGTTCCGGTCGTAGTTTTGAATCCAGTGCATCCTTTAGTCTCTCCAAGATGATGCGGAATAATATTTTGCTTGCTCCACGTGGACAGGAGCATGGTTCCGCGCCAGTTCTTGCAAGCACTGAGGTCTCCTTTCTTCGGCAGTTTGACAAGGTAGCCCTTCTTCCAATCTGCCGGTACCTACCCTTCCTTCCACTCCTTCTGTAGTAGTGGTGTGAGCATGTCCGCTGTTGTCCCTGCGTCTGCTCCATCTGGTCCTGCTACTTTCCCGCATTTCAGTAGCCCTATAGCGTTCGGGACTTCGACTTTTGTTGGAGGATCTGTGTTCACTGGTAGTTCTATGGCCGCAGGTGGTAGTTCTGGACGCAGTGCAGGTGGTGGTGGATTCAGGAGTTTTCTGAAGTGGTCAGTTCATTGTTTCCTTTGTTTCTCTTCTTTGGTACTTGAATTTTCCTCATCATCTTTCATCAGTTTCATGTGTGTTGATCTCTGCCCTCCCAGATAGTAACCTGGTTATTTGATACAATGTTGTCAGGTCTCTCCTACCTGCAGCCTGTTCTACTTCACAACATTTCACACTTAAGGAACTAAAATTGAGCGTTCAATGTTTAAAGAAACAAAACTTAACATCATTCAGGATAGGCTACTCATTATTCTATGTTTCATCATTATCATTTACTTGAGAACAATTTCAGGATTGAGTTTTTCAGTGTGTTTACTGTAAAACCATCAGCTTATTTAACGAAAATAGTTTTTAATAAAAGCTACCAAGTCATCGTTCAGTAGGAATATAAAAGGAAGCTCATCTTAGGTTACATATGCTTCAATAAGTAATAATTTACATCTATTCTTTTTCTATATTTTCGTACAAATATTCCCTGGAATAGTTAGTATAAAACGTGCTTCTTACGCAGAATAAACTATTCATCGTAAAATATTTCAAAACACATAGTCAACAGAACAAATGTAATCTTAAAGGATTCATCTCACCAACTTGGCACTTAAGTTAGAACTGACTATAGTTATATGATGTGAAGGAACCCAGAAAAATTTCAGTGTACATCTCTTTTTATCTTAGACAAAATCATTTAAATCAACATATTCTTAGTGGAGCTCGTCGGTTTTAGGAAATGATTTTTAACCAATGGGGTCATAGGTTCGAGATCTGATCCACCTATTAAGGTTTGAGCAGGTAAGTGATATCATTAGCCCTCACATACTGCGTATGGTTCATTACCTACTGCATGAATCTGTGCAAAACTTTTGAGTTCATTTTGATTCGACATGATCCATATCCTTATACCCTTGCGTTTACCGCGAGTACTGATAAATTCCTTGTTGTTTCTAAAAAGCAATAGATTTGTTTTAGTTGTTACAAATATTACATTTCTGCACCGATTGGCTAATCATTCAACTAATACTACATTTCTCAGGGGGAGGGTGGTTCGTTAAAAATATCAGTTAATGAACAATATATATAAATACTGTGTTTATGTAGTTTATTTGGTATATCACCGGGTTGAAAATTTTTTATGCTATGAGATATCTTTCAAGGTAAAGATGAAATTACAAGAATTAATAAATAACCAGTTTTCTTGTTTCAGAACCTGGAATGTGTAATATAAACTATTTCATATATCTTTTGGTAACAACATCACTACCGAAATTCCCAATATTTCCGACTGTGTATAAAACTGATTTATTTGTTTAGTTGAATTGCTGAAGATTTAGATCGTTTGCTTGGACACTTGACTTTCGATCAGTGGGTCGTGAGCTGCTTTGTCTGATTCAGCTTGAATGATCAATTCATATCATTAATCTCTCACACAATATGTATGGCTGTTAGCCTATTACATGATCCTTCATCGAGTTGGGAAGTTTCAAATACCTGATTTGAAAGAAGGAATTCCAACCAAAATAATTATGATTGTGTATTGAAATAATATCCACTTTTTCAGTGTTTAGCAGGCGACAACATTAACCGGTAAAACGTGTAGAGTGGTGTTAAGTACTCTTAAACAGACGTTTTTTTTCTGAGATCTTCATTCCAACACTTCGATATCCCGACTAAGCAAAGTATCATGGAGATAGAAGGCTAACAGTTAATCTATATAACTTTGATACTGACTTAAACTATTATTCTTCATGATTACTGAAATGGTTATTTAATTTGAAGATAAGTCGGATATCAATGAAAATATCTACAGTGAATTTATGTACTTTTTTTCAGTCACATGTTTTCTATGCAATATATGCAGTCTTTTCTTGGTTATTTTCTCAAACGTTATATACTAACAATTGATGTTGTCAAGATGAGTAGAAACATGTAAAGTTTTCACGTGGAAATGTTTGCCGAAATCTATTTAGAAGTTAATGATATACATTACATTAGATAAGAATATTTGTGAAGTACGTACTGCTTACAGTAATAGCTAGATTGGTTGAATACATATAAGTGAACTTTTCTGTACTGGATTTCAGGAGGGGTCATTTATTTTTGACGGTATTGTATTCTCTGACCTCGATGGTTTAATCATGAGGCTTTCATTATCATTCTAGACAACATCACCAGCACAAGGTTTAGAAAGCAGTAAGCTATTGGATTTTCTCTACAAGGTGTTTAGTAGCTTGTCCTAATGGCCTTGTGTATGATTGGTTGTTTCCGCCAAAATCTTGTCGTTGTCTCCATATTTATTTCAATTGGTTGTCCTGCTGACGTGAACTTGTTTCTTATTGGTTGATTGATTGGGTCAATGTCAATATGTCTGTTGATCCACTGATTGACCTAAATGGCAAGCTACTAACGCTTCTCTGGTCTTCTTTGCACTGCCACATTTTCTAGTCAAACTGATGTCTATCGTTGTGCGTATGCATTGATATGCGCGATGTCATCACACCTTACTCTAAGGTGATGTTCATGTAGGCGGATACGAAGAGGGATACAAATATTCTCTATTATCTCATCTATTTTTATTTTTAAATGTTATAAAAAAAATTCGTTTTTCGTAGGTGTAAACATTTTCTTTAAGAGTATTTTTAATTTTCCCACCGACTAATTAATTAATAAATAGGATTCAACATTTTCTTCGTGTACATGATGTTCAGAGTTTGGCCATGGCAGTGCTTGTAATTCAAAGCTTAAATCGAATAAATGAATTGCAGGTAGGATATAGTGTTTTTCTTTGTATTTTAAATCAAAAGTTATTTGTATTGTGTTATTAAGTCAGTTTCACTGACAATTCTATTCCAAGTTTATCTTAGTTAATGTTCGCTTATAATGTCTGCATTTTTTCAAACCTTCATCTAAAGAATAGATGTTCGAGTCGAATCAAAATGCACTCAGCAACCTTGTGCACATTCATGCATTAAGGAATGAGCGACACCTATTGTGTGACAGCTAATAATACTATAGTGGGCCCCGCTGATCAAAATGGATATAAGTAATATATGTTGAGAGGGCCGCAGAAATCATAGGCAATTACCAGCGATGCGTAAATATTCTAGCCAGAGGAACGCAAGAGATAATCTGTGCGTACTAAGAGCAAAACGAGATATGAGCAGAAGAGGAAATGAAGCACATTGTGCAGTTGACTGTTTTAATGGAAAGTGTAAAATACTTCATCAATAATTTATAAGATGTCAATGATAAACATTCCTTCCTGTGTTTCAGTCTTGTCGTTTTCTACAATACTACTACTGTAGGTGGTGCTGTGTACGAACCCGTGACTTATTGGTTGAAAGTCATCTGCATGGAGCAATGAGTTACAGCTCCTTGACTAAATGATCACCAATGTGGTTTTCTATTTATTCTCATACTTGTAATGTTGAATATTATCCATAAAGCTTGTTAATTGTTTGTCTAAGAATGTTTGTCCCATGATCATCGGTCAAACTAACTGTGGTTTCATTGGTATAGAAATACAATTGACCAAGTTGTACCTCTACACAACAGCATGTTACCAAAATTCTTATAGTATGGAGGATAGTTCCAGATGCAACCAGGTTCTAATATTTTGCAAACATTAAGTGGTCTCATTGTATTGTGATCCATTTGGTTCATACAGTCCATTGTGATAATAATTACATTGCAATAAAACTATATATTCATTTGACTGAATCAAGTTACATTCCATCGAATGTTTATTTTTGTTGCTGATATTTAAGTATGATATAATCTGGAATTATTTCATCTTTTCTTGAAACGCAAATACATCCGTATTACTTCTTTGTTTATGAGTAGTAACACAGATATCAAAAAAGGCGTCCTATTATCTTGTTCATGTAGTACATGATTGTTTCTTTTTACATTGTGAATTGATCCTATTGGTTTTCTTACCTACCTACGTGTCAGTTTGACATAAATAAATATTTCTTTCACTTTGGTAAAGCATCTGACAATTTTCCCATCTCATTATTACTGGATTGGATGAGCAGTATACATATTATTATTATTATTGTTATTATTGTATCTTGAGGTTTATGTGGATTTTATTTTTTAAGGTTGTATTCATCACTGACTGACATCAGTTGTGGGATCATTGAGAACCTAGGAGTACTGGAAAGTTGTTTCGTACTAGTATGATACTCCTCAGCAGAAATCTGTGATGAATATAGCCCTTATTATAATTGTTATTATTCATAGATTGTATTTTCATATCCATATTATTCTCAAATATGAGCTGGGTTTATTTTAGTAAACTTTTATGAAGGCTGGAAACAAACAAGCGATATAGTCCTGCATTTTTTTAAAGGTGTTTCTAATGTGGTAGGGTTAGCTCCAAACTGTTTATGTTGTTTAGTGGTACATATTGTTGATTATTTAATTGAAATACTATGCTTTAACTTCCAGTGGTAGTTAATTAGGATATTGTAAATACTTTGTGTCTGTAATGTATACTGCTCATCCTGTTATCATCATGAACTCCGTGTTATCTAAATCTGTATCTAGTTTTAGTACTTTTACTGATATATATTTGTCCTTTCATTGTTGTTCTTATGGATTGCCTACGTGTCATCTTTTTTGTGTACTATGTCTACAGAGTTTTCATACTAATTCTACTGAGAGCCATTATAGCTTATAGAATTGCACATTAGAACGATACACTCTCTGCTCATTGTAGAATAATGGCTTCAATCTGTACAACCTTATGGAGTTTGATCAATGACTTTCTTAAAACACCTAGCCATATTCAAAGAACTGATATTTCCATTTGATTTATATCTGTTTTCTGAAAAATTACATTACCGTTTCAAAAGATTAAAATTATCCTTTGTAAATTGTGCACCTAATCCATACTATTTTGACATGATTATGTAACGAACGCATTAGCTAATACTTGGAGAAACGGTTTTTATTTACTTTGTGATACCTGATACTTTGTCGCTGCTGCAGTTGTTGCATTCCTGTTGTGTTTTTTTATTTTAGCTTGATGTAATTCCTAGTTCAAGGAGTTCACTAAATAAGCTGGATAACAGTAAGTTGTTTCCTTTTGAAACCATTTGCTTCTTTCAGATTCTTTTTTTGTTACTTCCCCTCTTCCTTTCTTCTTGCGTTTTTATCTCAAATGGTGTTTTAATATTGAACCAATAGATCGAATCATGATAATTTACTTGGTTGTGGCTAGTAGAAGAATCCAGGATGCGCGTTTCGTCCTACTTGGGACTCGTCAGATGGATATACCTGTATCCCGGTGAGTGATGTTGTTCCCACCGAGACTGGAACCTCATACCCATTGCTTCAAATGCCAAAACGTTTTCCACTATGTCAAGGAGGCACGACAACGGGTATTAGTTATTACTATTTTCGGTATCCTTGAAGCGGTGGGTACGAGGTTCTAGTCTCAGTGAGGACAATATCACTCACTGGGGTGCAGGTGCGTCCAGTTGACAAGTTCTAAATAGGACGAGATGCGCGTCCTGAATTCCTATGCTAGCCACAACCAACATAATTAACATTCAGGCAGTATCGAGGCATCTGCATAGGAGCCCATATGCCAATAAAGGTCAAACAATTCGATCCAATAAAATAACGGAGAATAACAAGTGTATCAATAAGTAGTAAATCGAATCATGTTTAGGGAATTAGCTTACTTATGCATATGTCATCGTTGTTATATTCAAGGTTTGCGTTTGATTTTTTTTGCCTACTAATGCAACTTAGTAACTGATTCACCGCCAAAAATACTTAGACAAATGAATTATTCCGCAGGTAACAATCGTCGTCTTATGAAACAGTCGAATCGAAATCCACTCAACCAACTTGTACATATCCCACCACTAGTTTTCCATCTAGATGGCAGCACTCCATATACTATTACACAACCCCATGGGTTCCACTAGAGAGTTTCGATTGACGTTATATATTTGCTTGGTGCTCCTTCCACAGTGTGACACTCCCACAACATCCTTCGATGAACAGAGTCGAATGTCGCATATAGGTGAAGAAATATGGTGAGTGTTGGTTGCCGTTACGTGTGCTTGTGTTTAGGACCTGTTGAATTGTGAGAATCTGATCAATGCATCCTCGTCCAGGTCTGAAACCTATCTGCTTTTTTCGAGTTTCCTGTTCACGAGCTCCAGTTAGGCATGGGATAACTATGGATCCAAGGATCTTGGACACGATATTAAATTAATTCCCTATGGTCATCATAAAAAGACTTCTTACGAGCTGAAACAATCAGTGAAGCGGACGAGTTTGACGGAACTACTTCTAATTTTCATGCATTGGGTGGGTGAGTAGGTGAAAATTATGAATAGGTATAGGCTGATCTCACGACTCTTTCCAGTTCTTACAGATTCGTTCAGTATAATTGCATACAGACGGCTCTTAATTGGTATGCAGCCGTGAAGTATACTTTTTGGTGGAAAACCTAATACTATACCTACATCTAGCAGTACGACTTCGATTAGGCGTAACAATTTACACTATAATGATAATTGCTTTTCGTCTTACCACTATCCTACTAACCTTTCAGATAAGGTAGAACCTCAAGAAAAAGCTTTGCAACCAGTGTAGCTTGTTCGGTCATCGTGATATGCTAGCCCAACCACCACGTCAAGGTAGAAACTTTGTTCAACATGGATATCCAGTGATTAGATTTGACTAGTCACTGATTATTTCTCTCTTCTCAGAGCCGTATTCCTACTATCATAGGTTATCTAATTTTTTTTCAGAAATAACTTCGTGCTATACTCATTGTAGAAATTTCGGCTTTGTTGCTCTTTTAACTATCACCAGTATCCCATACAGTTTTGAAAAAGTTAACTTTGTCTGAGTGTATGCTTTTTTGGACTGTCCATACCAGGTAATCTATCTCCCTTTTTTGTCTGACAGGACATTCGACCAAATTCAATTTTACCGCTTTAGTTGGTGTTTCAGTCGTATAAGCTAAGACTAAGTGTGACACGCTTTACCAATAACTTTGTATTTGTTATCATTTATGTCTGTTAACCATATCTGCATGTACCTAACCACTCATCAATATTCGATAATAATATGACTAAATGTATGTCTCACTTTTCATATGTTATCAAATTAGCTTTGAATGCTCACTCATCTGTTAACAGTAACTTAGAAACACTATCAAAATATCGCGATAATGAATTTGAAAAGAAAATGAATCATTCAAGATACAATATGCTGTCTAACCCCACATTAGAGCTATCATTACCATTCACTTCAGGCAATGCAGGTGAAATGCAAAGTTGGGTCCAGCGTCAGTCAAACAAGAATATGAGTCCTAATCTTACAGAGAAACCAAATACGAATCAATTATCAATCAACTCAATTTGTGCTTATTATTCAAGGTTAGTTGTTGCCGATAACGTTTTGTTCATTTATATCTAGATTCATAATAGTAAGGCTTTGCTCATAGTTGTTTATTTAGTGAACATATTTTCCGATCTTTTGTTCACAAGTACTCCGTACAAATTGAGTGTTCTGTGAGCCCTGTATGTACAATGGTAATAGTTCCCAAAAAAATGCACGTAGATATCACCTTTATTTGATCAGATCTTATCCACCAAAATACACGAGAACAACGAACAAAGCCGAAGACACGCCGCAGGATTTGAACAGACGAAATTACTTGGGTTTTTCGACATCCAATGTATATATATATATATATATATATATATATATATATATATATATATATATATATATATATATATATATATATATATTGGTACTTAGGATATTTGGAAAACCATGTGAATAAAGTTCCATGGGTGTGCAGTAGTAATATATTAGAATACGATAATTAATAACTGCTATGGTTGATTACTGAATTATGGAAATATTATAGTTGGTAACCATGATAACGAATGAGAGAATATGCAAAAATGAAAATTAACCGAGGATCCTCAGGCCTGAATTGAAAATAATTTATGAAAGATTGTAAATTAATAAATGTGAGTATGTATTATCAGTGTGTAGTTGTTTTTAGTGTACATGATATCAACACAACTGAGGAAACATGCTGTGAGTAGAGGAGTAATCAAATCGTGATTACTTTTTCCAGATTCACAATTATTGAGGTTATTCACTATCCTGTATTTGTCAAATAGTCTGGAGATGGCTTAAGATGGCTCATGTGTTCTGTCTCATCTGAGCTGGAAATGAGCAAGTCATCAATTTAGAAATATACAAAAGGTAGTCTGTGGAGGACCTGATCTATGATTTGAGTGACATTCATAAGCCGAAAATCCATTCGGACGAATTTATATAGACCAAAATAAATAGCAATGGCTGTCTTGGGTATATCATCTAGACTAATAAGAATGTGATAGTAAGCGTTAACGAGGTCTCTCTTTGAGAAAACAGTAACATTGGATAAATTATTAATGAAATCATGGATATGGGTTAGTGGTTATCGGCCAAGCATCCTCTGTTTTTTTGACAGCTTAGTAATCGTCACATAGGAGGATGTGAGTAGAAGACTTCTTCAGGACAATATGGGGTGGTGAGTACCGTGCCTTATTAGAGGGTCGGGTAGTAACAAACCCAAGCGTAGAATTCTGCTTTCTCAATCTCTCAAGTCTGTGCAGATCAAAGCATCCGGCTTTTGCAAACACTGATGACACACGACGTCGTACTTTAAGTCTATTTGAAATAGTCATGCTGCACTACGCAGTGAATGAAAGTGGCTACTTGGTATATGATGAAGTGGTTGCCTAAGTAATTGCTAAATTCATAGATGTTGAGTCAGTCACCGTACCAACTATGTAGGCTGTACTATTTGAATCAATCAGTGTATGGCTTATCGAGTCTACCTGCAATCTATATTGTTGTAGAAAATTGATTCCAATAATAGGTTGTAGCACATCTCTCAGCTCCTGTATCCTCAAAAACCTAATCCCAGTATCTTGGTTGTATTTTGTTTTCTGAGCTGGGTTATTCAATCGTGAAGCTTCCATTGTCTTGCTAGACGACATCATCAGCACTAACTTCAGTATCTCTCCGTGAGTGATTTAGTGGCTTACTCTGATGATGTGGTCTGTGATTGGTTGTTTCCTTCGATTGTTGTGTCATTCATTGTATAAACTTTCATGCTGGCTGTTCCTCTGACTTTTCTGTCGTTTATCATTTTTCTTATTGGTTGATAGATTTGATCTATATTTATGCGTCTGTTGATTGCTGACTGGCCTGAATGCTATGTTTCTAGGAATTCTGGTATTTTTTGTGTTTCCTCTCTCTGTTCGATATTTCCACATTGTCAAAATTGAATTCATGTCCATAATTATCCACGTGCATTGAAACGAGTGATGAAATATCGTGACGTTTAATAGCCAGTTGGTGTTCATGTAAACGAAGGTGAAGAGGACGACCACTTTGTGGAATGTAGTGTTGACTACAGTTATTGCAGTTGATTTTGTAAACGATGTTTGGTTTGTCTTGTTTGGTTGTTGCATCCTTTGGTCTGCATAATAGTGTTTGGAGGGAATTTGTTGGTTTATGAGCCACACCAATTCAACCGAGGGGTTTCAGTACTGTTGTCGTGATTTCTGATGTATTCTTTATGTATGGTAGGAAGATGCGTTTGTTGATTTTTGTTGATGACTTTGTAGTTGATGATGCACAGTGTAGGCATCTTGTGATAAAGTTTCGTGGGTAGCTGTCCTTATTTAGGATGCACATCAAGTAATTTTCCCCATGAAGTTGTTGTACTGCAGTGTGTTCTCACTCCTCTGAATAGAGTCTGCATGCAACTAATTTTGTTTGTTGTTGGGTTGTTGCTAGTGTAATTGAGTATTTGATCAGTGTGTGTTGGCTTGGTGTACACTTGGGTTTCCAGTTTTCCAGCATTTGTCGTACTGATAGGAATGGTAGTTGGTTGTTTGACTCCTTCTCCATTGTGAATTTGATGTCATTGAAAACGTTGTTGATCAAACTGTAGGTGTTTTCTATATCATCTTTTTTATTGATGACAAATGTGTCGTCCACAAAGCGAATCCAGAATTTTGGTTTGATCACAGGTAGGATGATGGCTTCCAGTCTCTGCATCACTGCTTCTGCAATTAGTCCGGATATTAGTGACCCCAATGGAGTTCCTTCTGTTTGTTTTTATATCTTGCCATTAAATTGGAAGTATGTTGTCAGGCAAAGGTTGATGAATTCCAACGAACTTGAACATTTAAGTTTTGTGCGTTCTGTAAGGCTTGTTTCTTCATTGAGCAGAAGAGACATAGTTTCCTTGACCAGTTATGGTTCAATGGATGTGTATAGTGCTGTGACATTGAAGGATACCATTAATTCTTCGTTTTCTATATTAATGCTTTTGATCTTTTCTAAGAATTCCGTTGGTGATTTCATGGAATGTCCGCATGATTGAAAGAAGTGTTTCAGTTTTCTCAAAAGTTCTCTCAACATGTATGTTGGAGTTCCCGCAAGTGAGACTATTGGTCGTAGAGGGATATCTGGTTTGTGTAGTTTTGGTCTACCGTAGAACCGAGGAAGGATAGGTGCATTCGATTTCATTCGCCATTTGTCTTGCTTTGTTATTTCCTCTACTTTGAAGAGTTTGTTCAGGGTTTTATTGATCGTGTTGTTGAACTTTTGGATAGAGTTGGTTTCAAGTGGTTGATAAACATTTTCGTCTTCATACTGAAGTTAATGTTAATGATGTCGTCTAGAAAGACAATGAAAGCTTCACGATTGCATACAATTCAATCATGTGGTTGCCTGTGGCTAACAGAGGAATCCAGGACACGCGTTTCGTCCTATTGAGGCATCCGCATAAGAGCCCATATTGCCAATAGAGGTCGAACAGTTTGATGCAGTAAAACAACGGAGAATTGCAAGCACATCAGCGAATAGTAATAACTAATACCCGTTGTGTAAGAATTGACTATCATGCCTCTGTGGCATAGTGGATAACGCCTCAACATTTGAAGCGATGGTTACGAGGTTCGAGTTTCGATGTGAATAACATCACCCACTGGGATACAGGTATATCCAGCTGACAAATCCCAAATAGGACGAAACACGTTTTCTGGACTCCTCTACTAGCCACAACCAACGTAATTAACATTCAGACAATATCGAGGCATCCTCATAAGTGCCCACATTTCAATAAAAGTCGAACGATTCTATCCAATAAGACAACGAAGAATTTTAAGCTTATCAATAAATTCAATCATTGTTGATACTTTGAAATTTATGATTATGATAATTCTGTTGACATGAATATTTCGAATTTGAGTTTTGTACTCCCCCTCATTTTTGTTTCTCTTTAGTAATATAAAGTAAAATAAGCTCATATACAACTTTTAATATCAATATTTATTGAAAAACTAATAGAATTTTAATTGAATAATTTTTTTTTTTCATTATCTCCAATTATAGATTTGTTCATTTAAAAGATTTATTTTCATTCGATCATTACATTTCTGTTTATGCAAGTATCATTTATTCTTTACATGAATATATTTTACATGCTCGTCTTCTACGTTCTTGGTCATCAAGTATTCGAATTAATTCATTGGCTAATATTTGGCCTTATGTACAAACAAGTGCTTTAATCTTACTTTCATGTCCAGATATTCGATGTACTTCAAATTTTATTCCTAAACAATTTAATGGTATACTAAAATCTGTACAGTGTACACAATGTCAATGGGAAGTGAATATAGAACATCATAAATCATCTAATGATATTATTCCAAAAATACAAAGATTATTAATTTGTTCTATATGCCGAAATACTTCTAGAGGACTTGTATTAATCTGTCCTCGATGTAATCATGGTGGACATGTGAATCATATTTATACATGGTTTAATTCAATTAATGTAAATAATTTTCGTAAACAATGTCCATTCATTAATTGTGACTGTTTTTGTTCTACTGTTGAAATGAATTCAACACAAATTGTTCAAATTCAATGAAACTAATCAATAAGGGTATTTTTTTTCTTTTCTTATATTTTCTCTACCATTTATTTTAATTTTTTTTCTTTTCAATATTGTTTTAATTTTGTTTTATAATCGTTTCACCTAGTGTGTATACACAATATGAAATGACCCTTCAATTTCTTTTTATTCATTTATTGTAATTTGCGTCTTTTCTACTGAAAAAGTTGATTGTTTCTTTATTCCAATGGTCTGACGTATTCATTACCACTCTCATAATCAAGCGATTCAATATTCAAAACTGAATGAAGCGATAGTATGTTAGTCTTCCTACTTTTTCATTTGTTATAATATTGATGTTGTACTACAACTAACAACTATAAGACTTTACTGCATTTCACTTGAATCAATATCAAATTTATTGAAGCAGTCGTTTTAACAATTATATATATATATATATATATATATATAATAAGTAGTTAGGTTATTTAAGGTCACATAATCTTGAAAACTCAGATAATATGATCCATCATCATCATCCAAATCAAAACAGGGCCCAGGCATTACTGCGTAACGATTCGAGTTCTCACAGCTGATATCAGTACATCAAGTGAAAAGGCAGTCAAGTGGAAGATGAAGAAAAGAAAATTCAATCAAAAGAAATATAAAGTACTAAAAGGGAGAATGACAGAGTGGTGAGATTTGGTATAGCGTTAAGATAAAAATAACGTGTATATACATCTGCGCCACTGGGTATCAGTTCTTAGCCATATTGCTTAGAGTCTCCAACCACTGGTTCCTCTTGTCCCGCGGATCCCAACCGCTAGTCTGCATCGCTCCACATGGCTCAAACCAATACTCAAATACTTCATACATTGATGCCATGTTTTAGTCTGGCCACCTCGAGCCTTTTTCAGTTGTCGTTTTGATACTTGCAATTTCCCGTTGCTATGTAGAGCTGAATTGTCCAATGGGTACTGGGGTTCAAGTCTCAGTGGGAACAGCACCACTCATTAGCGTGCAGTTACATCCAGCTGACAAGTCTCAGATAGGACAAAACTCCCGTTTGGATTCCATCGCTAGTCACTAAGATCAGTATAACATCATGAATATTCGGTAGTATCGAGAGATCTGCATAGGAACCCATCTATCAACAGAGGTCAAGGAATTCAGTCCGGTATAGCAACGGGGAATTACAAGTATTAGAATAGCTCTCATTATCTTCACTTGGATACAATATTCTTGTCAACCACTGTTTGAGTGAATAACACGTTTCTGTTACCACTTCATTTTTATATGATTTAGTTTAAGGTAAGGTAAATTACATACACAAGTGAATAGGCCACCGGATAGTAACCAATGTAGCTGTCATCTCCTTTATTGTGAATGTTTATTAAAGTCTGTCGTTGACAATTTAGCCTCCCAACAAATGTGCCCACACTCATGTGCAGTATCACAATCCTGTGCATAATTCAGTCAGTTATTATTACAATAGCCATTTTTGAGTCTTTAACTTCAGTGATGAGTGCTTGGATCTCCGAGGCATTATGAATTTCCTCAAACTTGATGGTATGCCTCACTAACTGGTTTCAACAAGCATAAGACCTACATTCAAGATCTTCTGTGGATCGTCTTCCAATATTGAGCATCAAAACCACTTATCCAAGTGATTTTTAAGCTCTTGGTCATTCTAAGGTTAATTCATTTATTTGTAAAATTCTCAGGAAATTCATGAACATTTTAAGGCCACACATAAATTTGATACATAGCGTGATAAACATCTTTCTTAAGGCTAAATTACTTAGCGAGCTAGTCAAATTTGCTACTGAACTATTTTAGGTGGTTTCTAACTATTCATGTTATACAACAGCCTGTTTCATTAGTTCATTCGATTTTGTGTTATTTCCTACTAAAACTCTGTTATCATTACAGCTGAAAATCTTTTAGCTGCAATAATGCCAACAAATCAATCATTTAAGTAGACTTATTATTGCTATTGAATAACCATTCCTGTTAGAAGTGCTACAATTAGTGAAATGGTTAGTTCCATTTCCATAAACAATCACGGTCAGGCTTAGATGGATTTATTTTACTGTTAGATATTCTTCTATTGAATATTTTAGAAAGTCATCTGTTATTCAAAAATGACATTTTGAGCTTGTACAAAATATGCCAATTTACATTTCTACAGTAATGCCGGTTTGCAAACAAATTTCACATTGCTATATTCTTGATTTCATGATAATTCGGAACTGTTGACATTGAGAATTTGTTAGACTGTTTTGACGTAATTTTTCTTAATACTATATAGAAAAAGTTAGTTTCATAAATATATTTTGTATACAGCTGCGCTTATAATCAGATCGTGTTTGTACAACTGAAGTATGATTCGTCTTGTTCATATTGTGTGCAACATATTATTTATTAGTCGTATACGTCTCTAAATTATGCTTCTCTGAGACTGGCCATTTCTTGGATAGAATCTGTGGATCACTGCTTATATTGGTGTCGATGCCACCTAGTCTGACACTGTCATTAAATACCAAGCCTACACAGGTGGAATAGTTCGAGCCTTCATTATCTGCATGAACGATAGTGCTAATTGATGAAGATGTGAGATTATATTTTTACACGTTTAGGATTGATCACTCTTTAAGAGTTCGAGAAGAGGGGCATACTCTGAACCGATGAAAAGACCCTAGAGGATTTGGGTTTCACCGACGTAGATTCATGTCTAACGTCTTATCGCACAAATTCGAAGATCTACAGGCAAAAACTAACAAGTTGACAGAAGAGGCAGCGAAGACGTGACTTCAGGTAGACGTAGAAAAGACAGAGGTGATGAAGATATCCAACCAACAATAAGCACCATCAACGGGAGAAATCTAAAGGAATTAGTCTCTTTCACCTACCTAGGCAAGGGATCATAGTTTCAACTACAGGTGGCACAGGTATGTCAAAGCCATGATCGGAAAAGCAAAACAGGCCTTCATTACTCTGGAATCAGGGTGGAGATCTACTGAACTCAGCATAAAGAGCAAGATCCGGATTTTCAACACTAATTCAGTCAACTCTAAGCTTCTATGTGATGGTTCAGAAACTTGACGCGTTACGAAAAGCACTTCCAACAAACTGCAGACATATATCAAAAGCTGTTGCCTACGCTCGACACTGAAGATCAGATGGCCAGAGAGAATAAGCAGCAAGGAACTCACTCTGGCTACAAACCAACCAACAACCTATTGCCCAACAAATATGCAGAAGAAAGTGGAAATGGACCGGACATACACTGAGAAGACCGTTCAGGGACATCACGAAGCAGACTGTCGAGTGGAATCCAAACGGGCAACAACAAGCTGAGCGTCCGAGATGAGGGTGACATGGAGGTGATGGTGTGAGGAATAAATGAAAGCTTACGGGTAGTCGTGGAGCCAGGTTCAAAAGACTGCTGAGAAGAGAGTGCAATGGGAACGTGCCACTGAAGACTTATGTTCCACTAGGAACACAAAGGACAAATAATACGCTGTAGGAGTGAATCCAACAAAATGTTGATTGTTAGGGTCATTTGCCTATCTAATAGTTCTTGGTTCTCACCACCCCACATCGTTCTGAAGGGATATTCTGATCGGATGCAACCTTTTCCAGATTTTACCTTTTACCAGCGAACATTTCGGATAGATGTACAATGTCGCATATTCGTGACTTCTCACAGACAGCCTCGAGCATATATAATTTTGAGAGGTGACTTGACAAGGACATACTACCATATTTTAATGGAACCAGGTAGCATTCGCAAAATAGCAGTCCCTAGTCTCTTAGGGTTTCTACATAAGCTTTCCGGCCTAAATGATGTTGCACAGACCGTGCAAAGGTTTATAAATCACGTCATGCGCAGGTAATTTGATGATCATGCATATACTGAAGACCTATCAGTAGCCAGTGCATCATGATCTGAGTAAGAGCCGCTCCTGAGAACATTTTGAACGATTGCCGCATTATAAAGTTTACGTAAACCCAGATAAATGTGAGTTTGAGGAAAATCTTTCACTTTCTGGGTTACATAGTGAACTAACAAGGTATGAAGCAGATTTCAACTCAATCAACAGCAATTGAAGACTATCTCTTACCAGACTAATCTCAAAATTTTGGACGGTTCCGATGCCAAATAAACTTCTTTAGTCGACTGGGGCACACATTTCTAAGTCATTGACGGGTCAACTAATAGGTCATTCTCAATCGCAGCATTTCACGCCAGTGGCTTCCACCAAATGTACCTGTTGTTATAGGCCTGCAACAGTTTTCCGATCAAAAATGGCAATCGTTTTCGTTATTCTTAAAGTGGCTGAATCCAGACAAAGCACATTCGGAAGAGAATTGATTTCATGCTACGTATCTAGCCAAAAATCAGATATATGGTTGAAAAGATTTCATTTACAACATATACTGACTGTCAGCTATGCATGCAAAATAATGTTGACGAGCTAGAACACACTCCTGCATCTTCATCAATTGGTAATGTTGTAAGTACAGGCAAAGAAGGCTCGAACTATTCCACCTGTGTAGACTTGTCATTTAATGACAATATCGGACTAGGTGGCAGCTACACCAATATAAGTAGTGATCCACAGATTCTGTCTCGTGAAAAAAAGAAACCAACTCCTTCCAGTCAGAGTAACGTCATTGACCAAATATTTCCTTGTAGGCCGGACACTATGCGCAGTTACCCGTCACTGTCCAAGAGGTGACCAGTCTCAGGGAAGCATGATTTATAGATCAATCAGACAAAATGAATCGCAGTTCATTTGGACATTCATTATCTTATTGTTAGCGTAGCTGTATACAAAATATATTTATGAAACTAACTTTTCCTATATAGTATTTGGAAAAATTACGCGATATGATGATGATGATGATGATGACGACTGAGACATTAACAATGGATACATTGATGCCAGTTCCATACACCACTGGGATACTTCAGCAATGTGCATGAATGATTACCGCTAACTGGTGTGAATTGTAGAATATAGATGAGG